GGTTTCTGTTTTTTTTTTTTTTTTTTTTTTTTTTTTTTTTTTTTTTTTTTTTTTTTTTTTTACCATACATAGGATGCAATGGTGTAATTTATTGATCTATAAAGAGATTTGTTTGTTTGGATAAATAGCTTTTTTCAATCATAAATAAACGAATAATATTTAAGAAGTTAAATTATTGTTATTATCTATTGTAAAAGTTAAAGTTTTTTCAATTAATTAAGGAGCAGGCTACATGAAACAAATATTTCTTATTCTCATATATACTCGACAATACTGTGAAAATTTAGATAAAAAGAAACGATGTGCAATTATATTGATTCTTTAATTATATCGATTCGTTTAACCTACGGATAATAAAAGAAATTACGTTATCAAAAACTAAAAAAAATAAAAAAAAACAATATTTTCCCAAGTTTTCTAAAATCCTTAAAGATAATGAAACAAATTGTGAAGTAAATATGAAACTACGAATATACATTGTCACTTTTCAAGTTTCGAATAAATGTCCTTGTACCGGAAATATAGCAGAAGTATTTAATCGTTTAATAAATATTGAAAATATTTAAGTAAATTAGTTTTTTTTTTTTTTTTTTTTTTTTTTTTTTTTTTTATCAAATTACATGACAATTAATAGATTGCATTCTAGAATTTTACTGGACTGCCTATCAAAAATTAGAGTACTTAATTCTCGAAAGAGTAGAGCTTTAAAGAATAACTTTTAAAATCCCTTTCAAATTTGCGAAGAACGAACTCACACAATCACCGTAAAAGTAACGGTTAATCAAAGAAAGTGTACGAAATGAATTTCTCCAAACAAACAAACGTTTGTAATCACCATTGAACTTCATCGCCACGATTCAGCGCGTAACAAGAGAAAAAACGGAGGAAGCTACACAAATCAATCGACTCTAAGTAAACTAAATGTTATTTACTTACGAAGGAGACAAAGGCGTTTCTTCTAACGAGCGCCATTAATATGATATGAAAACGTCCCTCTTTCTCTTCCCAAGCGAACAGCAGAACGACGAAGAAAGGGAGATGTAGCGTAACAAGGACATAAGAAAATAGATAAGAAGAAGAAGAAGAAGGAGGATGAGGAAGTGGAGGAGGAAGAGGGAGAAGGAGGAAGAGGGAGGGATTGAGAGAAGTCCAACAAATGCGTTCAGGGTTGAGGATGAATGGATCATGGTGTGGCTTGTGAATTATCGAGGCTCCACTCGCTCCTTCCACCGACTTAGGACGTTATAAAGGAAGCTGAAATGCAATTAACCGACAAAGCACACAAAAACGTCCTCGATAAGACGAGTGAGATGGAGGATGGCATTGCATCATTAAATGCGCCGCTACACCTCTGCCAGCGAACCTATATCTATTTCATTCATAACGTCGCGACGATAACTCAATATTGCGTCCATTTATAGATCCTTTCTATATGTGAGATTGCTTTATGGAATCTTATGCTCGAGTATTTGGAGGATGTGTATTATGAAGCAGACTCCTTCGTTACGCTATGGGATGCCAAAACGACCGACGTCCCACTCTAAACGCCAGGTTTATACATACAAATTTTACTCTTGTTTAAACCAGTATATGCCGAATCTTCAGGTCGTCAATTTATTGTAATAATAAATTTGTAACAATGTAAATTCATTTGTCCTTATGTGTATTCCGAAAATAAATAACATAACTGCTTATCTTTGTTCTGGGGTTTGTTTTTTTTTTTTTTTTTTTTTTTTTTTTTTTTTTTTCCTTTTAATAATGAACGTTTTTGCTAAATGTATTTCGGTATACAGATATAGGGTAACTGAAATCGTCGTTAACTTTTACATATTTTATTAAACTCTGATTGTCAATGAGGAGTCGGAGACGCCCTTACAATCTCATGGCCTTAAATTCATTTCGTGTCGTTGCGCCCGTACCGTTAATTATAAATTCTTGATAAAATTACTCCACGATATATATATATATATATATATATATATATAATATGCATATATAAAGATATGAAATACCGTATACTTTAATTGCACCGTGACTCAATTTAGCGGGTGCAGATCACAAACGATTACTAGTGTTAGACGGCGCTGACGTATTCCTAGCAGGGACAAACTGATTAGACACATTCGAAAATAGAAACTAGCCCTTTTATGACCGTCTAAAAGGATATTTACGAATACGAGATCATTGCATGGTCTTTCGTTCCTTATTATCATCGTCGCCCACCATTATTATTGTCTTTTATTTTGTATTATGGTATTGTTATTACTATTATTATCGTTTAATTGATTTTCAAGATACTTCATTGGAGTATAGAAGGAGAGTATAGGAAATAGGAAATAGATTCCAGACAAGAGAATGAAATGAAATTCATTAATGTGGTTGAATAATAGATTCAGGAAATGCGCGACAGTACGCTAAAGTTGATATAATACTTTTAACAATGTATACCATTAAGGATTTTAAAATACCTAACAACTTTTGACTAGATATAGATATTTCCTTATCATATTAGATAATTATATATATATATATATATATACATCTTGATATATTTAGACGTATTAAGCAGTTGTTTTAGCTCAACAATCCATTCATTCGATAAAACTTTTTTCCCTTTTTTGTTTTACATATTTTATTGTGATATTATTATGAAATTGGACTATCATATCTGACATATTCGGTGTTAAATGAGCCTAAAATAATGCATCGGGAGCCTCTAAGTATACAGTCTATCTATACCTCAAGAAATAATAATATTTAATCGCTGCGATGTCTCGATCCTAGCCACTTCACTGACGACGAGCCAACAACGGCATACGACAAAATCACCTCGTGGACACGATTCGAGATAAGGAGCACGGACTTGGATCATTATGAGAGACAGGAAGGATCTCGCGATGGGGATAAGCGATATAACGACTAGCCATCTTAATCAAGGCGCGCTCGGTGGGAAATTCTCGCGCGATGACCCGTCAAGGATGCAAGCCAATGTAATCCATCAAGCGTCGAGCGAGTCGGCCTCCGCACAGGTGCGCTCCTCCGTCTCCCGGTGAAACTTCGCCATGGCAGTAACTCGATTAGGACATACGTCTCTGTACCCTCCCACTCCCCTATCGCCCCTAGTCTGACCGACACCCACACCCTCGGAACTCCGGGGCAGCCCACCACCAGTGCCAATGCCCGGCAACCCCGACCGGTGCTCGACGGTACAGGACGAGCGATATTCCTTCCCGCCCCCTCTAGACGATCCCAAATCATTCTTCATTCAAGCTCCGCTCTCCTACCTCGACATAATCTCTTATTTGCTTTTCTTTCTAAAAGGGTATACTGTACATCGGGCACTCCCATTGGTCCTCGTCTTTCTTACTCGATGTACTTCGATGATTAACTGGATGACTGGATATTTTAAAAGCCGAGAGGTCAGGCCGTCCAAGCTCTCGTTAGAATTTACTCTAAATTATCGTCTCTGACTGTATTATGCGACGTGTCCTTGCTTAAAAGCTACTACAATTATAAGGGGGAAGAAGAGCCGCTATGTATGCTAAAACGCAGACAAAAATGAAAAATTGTTTACCTTCACCTAACGGTTTAAGGAAAGAATGGCGCTTAGGTTCCTTGATTTAACGTGTGAACAGGAACCCTTCGTTCACGATTACTGCAAATCTAAAATAGACGATAATCGGACATTAAGGCTATTGCCCAGATTTTTCGACATTAAACAATGCCCATTGCTGACTGTATTACTGCACATTTATCTTTATTATAAGTCGTATTATGCAAATTTCATCTTTAAGAAAAACGACTCCAACGCACATTGAAATTATTAAATGAATTTTAATTTCTAATTAAATGTATATATTTCTAATTGAATGTATATATTAAAGTTAATGAAAATAAAGTTAATAAAAATGTAAGAGTTTCTTTCTAAGACCTTGCTTTATGTAACCGAGCATTTTATATATAATGAAAAGTGAAACAAAATTTATGAAATAGGCGATAAAAACTTTTATAAAAATAATTTAAAGTAACTAGTTGTAGTTATTAAATGGAACGATAAAGATTTAAGTTTTAGAACCTTAAGTACTTTAAAAATTAATAGGCTTAGTAAACTACCATAATAGAATCACTCGTCATTGGTTAACATATGTTATTACAAAACATTATAAGCATGTCACTTATCACTCCTACAAAGGATAATATTATTAATGTGAGAACACATATTAATTTGCAAATTAATATTGAAAATTTTGCTCAACTTCAAAACGTATTAATTCAACTTTTAAACGATCATTTGTAAATGACATCCATTTAAATGATATTCAGATGTAAATGATTTAGCGATACGTAATTTGTGTTGATAATGCATTTTCGATTTTCACAGAGGAAAACTGTGCTTTAGGCACAAGGCAAATTATCGGCTGCATATTCTAGTTGCGTCGAGGAATTATTCATGCCCTCCTAAACAATTAAGTTTAAAACACTTCAATTAATAAAATAAATCCAGGTGAGCAAGACAAATCGCTTATCAAAGGATTAAATATAAACGTGTTGCAATGCGGCACATTGAAGAATACTTCGAGCAACGTCAACGGAACAAGGTAATTTTATTCCCTCGTGCAGACCGTATCGACGACGTAAGAGAAGTGGCTCGTACGTCATTATCACGACAATCTATCGAATGATACAACAAGTAACCTTGACGTATCAATAGGCGCACCGAAGCCCAAAGTCAAAGATAAGCTATCCACGGACGAGACGAAACGAAGATTACTCAAAAGAAGGCCATCCTCGGGGCACATCCGCGCGATATATCCTCATCTCCTTTGGCATCGCTCGAGAGGAATTACATATTTGATGGAGCAGGACCGATACCGAGGCGGCTCTGCTCGCTTGAATAATTAATTTACCAAACGATGCCTTGGCATCACGTGGAGAGAATTGTGGCAAAGGGACGGGCACGGGGGTGGGATCGGGGATAGAAGAGGGGCGGGCTCACTCACCTGCACCCTGGCCTCCGTCAAATCAATCCTCAGTGCGATCTCCTCCCTCGTGTAGATATCGGGGTAGTGCGTGTCCTGAAAGGCACTCTCGAGCTCCTTGAGCTGGGCCGACGTAAACGTCGTTCGTATACGGCGCTGCTTGCGCTTCTCCGCGAGGCCGTCGTGACCGGCGTACGCCTTGTATCCAAGACCGCCTGAAAGCAACACGCCCCACTTTTTATTTTTCTCTTCTCCTTTATTTACTTGCCACCGCTCTCCACCTCCCTTTCCCATCCCACCTACATCCCCGTCCCTCACGATCGCCCAAACCCGTGCAACCCTCCTCACGAACCTCGCCAACCGTACACCCACGCACACGCACAATTACACAAACTGCGCGCATTATTTATGTGCCGCGAATTTTTACAGCCCCGCCTTGATGGACAAGCTGCTTGCTTTACAACCCGCCATTTTCTTTTTCAAGAAGATGTACCTAATAATGATAAAAGTAGTTCGTCTTCTTCTTCTTCTTCTTCTTCTATCTTGATGTCTTCTGATTGATATCTTCTGTCTTCGACACTGCCATACAAATCCATACGTCAAACTTTTCCTACTACATTACTAGTCGCATTATTATTAAAACAATTATATTATAAAGATTTTTTTATAAGCGATAATATAGAGACAGACTATGGTGTGTGTGGAGCTGTACTGGGAGTAATAATTCCACGGCATATTGATTATATTAACAATCGGCTTATAAATGATCAAGTTTGCAGTAACATCATTATTCTTAAAAGGTTAAACAATCTTATTTAGGAGTGCCATGGAATATCTTAAGCAGTAGACGATCAAAATTCCAAGTTCCATCAATTAAGAATATATATTTGTTGCAATTAGTGGATAAGTCTGGGAAATCTATTCTCGAACAAAGAAAAATTTTTTTTAAAACTTTTTCCAACATACCTTCAAATAAATTCAAATTTGATTTCGTAAATCTTGTTATTAAAGTAGACATACTCACTCTATATATGCCAGTTTATAAACATAAGCTTATGGGCACATTGAAATTCATCCTATATGTAAGAATTAAATTAATTATCACTAATAATTATGTACTACCACGAGAAGTAGAAATAATTAGCAATAAGTCGAATATTCTCTTCGTAGGTGATAAAATATTCAAAAGAAAACTGCAAAGTTACGTAGAAAATCGACAAAATTATATTTATATTTTCATACAAACAAAATATAAATGTATTTATTTATTGTAATAATACACATTATTAAATAATCAAATGAATCCAAGACAATAATCTAGAGATAACTTATTCTTCGACATATTCTATTAAGCCAATTATTTAAATTAAGTGTCATATAATATTTTAAATAAAGCACTGATTGCAAAATGGATTTAAATAAATGACGTTTATTAATAAAATTATGAATTCTCTTAACAATATATATATATATATATATATATATATATATATATATATTATTTATGACTTATTCATTTTTGCAAAGTATTATTAATTATTATTCCAATGATTATAATGAACACGTATATTTAATAAAAAAAAATTATATGAAATTAACATGGTGAAAAAAATTTATTTTAAACATTACAAAACTCCATATCTAACTGTGAAATTTCATTATTAATATTTATTTAGCTGGACCTACTGCACAACTAAGTGATTAAATTAATTGTATTAATACTATATTAATTATATATATCGATAATATATATCAAATGAAAGTTTATCTTAATAAATAAACTAGTTATTACATTTATTTATGTGCTTGCAGATTAATTAAGCACTTCAAATCTTAAATTCTTAATTATAAACATTATTAAATTTTTTTTTTTTTTTTTTTTTTTTTTTTTTAAATCGGTTAAGAAAAACGACTAATTATCTGACTGATTAATATTTCACATGAATTAGTCGTAGCACATTGACACGCGAAATTCTCTTAGAGCGGAAGTACTTAAATAATTTCAATTGAGCGATTGAATTCGGAAATTCTATGATAAAGTGATCGTAGAAGATGTTTAATTCAGAAATGTGTGGATATTCAAGTTTGACTATTCAAGATTTATTTTAGTTCTAATAGCTGAATAGTAATGAAATAATTGAACTTTCACTAATAAAATTCAATATAACAATTTAATTTGATACAATGATCAATAAACTTTATTCTAATTGAATTTGTTTCCATAATTTATACACCATAAATTCATAAAATCATGATATAAAAAGTTTTAAAACACTACTGACTATTATTGTAAATTATAAAATCCTTATTTCTATATACAAAATTGAAATAAGTGTTTTAGTAAAATAATAAAACTTGGGCATGTATTTATGAATACATATAGTTATTTATATATTAACATATATATATATATATATATATATATATATGGAAACAATTTTAAAAACATTACTAAATTTCTTTTAAATAAAAAATTTTTGCAATATAAATTATATATATACCAAATTCGATAAAAATAATGATCATACGTAATAATTTATATAAAAATCATCACTATATGCCAATGTTTCATATTAAATGCCAATTAAAGATATTGAAAATTGGTAAAGTTTTCCTTTATACTAACATCTACATTACGTATTAAGAAAATGTGAATTATTTTCACATTTTTATGTTACAATGAAAAAAATGCCGATACATCAATCAATGCTTTTTGGTAAAATTAAAACAATGTAAAGAATAATTGAAGGAAAAAATATAATTGTAAAATAATAACATGAAGCATATAAATAATAAACGAAATTTTGTATAACTAATGGAAGCAAGAATTTAAAAACTGATAGTAAATTAATATAAAACTCTGCTTGACAGATAAATCTTTATATGATTTATCTGTATTAATAAATGTTGTGTAAGATACATTTAATTAAACACTAATATCTAAATTATGAAAAATTTCGTATATGTTAAATGAGATAGTTATGGAATATAAAGATAAAATTTTTATTACAATATCAATTAGTAATTTGTATGAAAAATATAATTATCTAATTAAACAAAATTTATTGTGAAAAATCATTCAGTCATTTAAAATTATCATTATCCGTGTTTCGTCATTATTAGCGAGCAATGTTATTAAAGAAAAAAATGAAAATTTCACATGATATAATCAATATCTATAAATTTTAATCGACCCATTAAATATCTTTAAAATTTTAATCCCATGAATCATTTTAATTAATCGAATTAATTTAATTCAACATACATTTTAACAGAAATACATTTTATTGATGATTAAAGGTATAATTAGATGGTTCGTGTCGAGTCAAAAGCAGCAACTACACAACTAATTTCAAAATATATTATTAAATTTTACTAAGAATGTGAGAAGCAATAATATTAAATAGCGTAATTAATTTTTAGGATATAACATTAATTTATTTTGAAATTTAAAAAAATAATAATTAGTAATGATGAAATTATAAGTTGGAAATAAAATTGAATTGATAGGTAGTTGAGAAAAAAGAAACATAAAATAATTATGTGAATAAATAAACTACGAAAATTAATTTTGTTACCTTAGAAAATATTGACATTATAATTTATAGATTTTTAATCTGTAAATATATTAAAATATATCTTGATAATCGATATAGTGATAACAATAATCATAAATTATAATCATTAAAATTCTGCTCAATGTTATCCTGTTGAAAAGCGATTGAAATCTTGGCCCCAATCACATACTTCGAACATGGATATTTATATAAGAATGATGTTTTTTAATTATTATCTAATCATATTTTAAAGTGTTGTAAAAAAATTTTAAATATCGAAATAGAAATATGATAAAAGAAAGTCTAAATAATGTTTAAATAAATGTTAAGTACATATAAATGAATATCAATAAATAAATAGTTGTATATAAGATACATGCAAGAAATTTAGAAAATAAAAAAGTTTTAGATTACAATGTAATGATAATACATTCATTTATTGTCTTTGAATTTGTCTTTGTGTAAAGGAAATAATCACAGGCTACTATGTACTATAATGGAATATAAAATTTACTATAGAATTATGGATTTTATGATTTGCATGTGAAATTTATTAATAAAAATTTACAACTGTATTACTTTAAATTTATATACATTTTTTTTAATATTCATATATATATATATAATAAATATATATATATCTATTCAAATTTTTATAAATAACTATGTCAAGTATAAAAGTATAACAAAGGATGTGAAATATTAACAAAAATCAATCTGCTGTTATTATTAAAACTAAAACAATATATTTTACTAAAAAATAAATATATAAAAAATATATTAATTTATGAATAATATACGATTTCATTATTTTAGTCACTTATGTAGTTTACACCTGCGCATTTATAATATAATTTAATAAACAGATACTAAAAATTTTGTATTTATAATGATTTTGTTCATATTATTTAAAGCATAAATTGTGAATTATCAAAATAAATATTATTATAATAGTTAGTACAATATAAATTATAAATTACATACTTTCTATCAGTATTATAAATTAATATAATATATAATATATAGTAAATTTTAAAGGGATGATAATATTAAGAATTATAATCATTAGTGTATGATATAAATATATATATACATATATTATTAATAATATATTAACACGTTAATGTCAATTATTATAACAAGGATGATATAAAACTAAACATTTGGTATCGTCAACAAAGTGAGAATTACTTTAAAACAAATTTATTTCTACATCAATAAGTATTGTAATGGTGATAATTCAATAATAATGTTGCATTAACTACGCCATATTTTATTTCTTTAGTTTTAAATAATGAAAATTTTAAGCATAAAAAAATTACTAAAAATCATAACCTAAATATGTTTCAAATGCGACGATAGGGGCGCGAACAATAAATATTCATCAATAGCTTGAATATAATGGCACCACAAGTCATATGTTAAGAGAAATTCTTAAAAAAGTAAAAATAAATAAACAATATTTTAAACTTAAGAAATAGATGTAAGTTTTTATTGGTTTTTATTGCAGATTTTACACATACATATGATGAGCCCGAGAGACGAAGAATCGAGTGGCGGCTGAACCGAAATATGTAAAAAAAAAAATCAATTAACAAACAATATGGAGTTAGTTGATGATATGATGGAAGCAAATAAAATGTTAAAACTCCAAGTTTAAAAAAGGCAAGAAAGCCCCTACAAGAGTCAACTTAGAAGAGATGTATAGTGGACAAGGAGGAGCGACTGCTTCGTCCCCCTCGCCAGCATTGAGGGACGTAACCATAGCAATGACTGAGCGAGAAAGAGAGCGAGAGACAGAAATGAAGAGCGAGAGAAAGTGAGAAAGTTAGTGAGAGAGAACGAGGGAAGAAAAGAGATAGCCAGCGCGGAACATCCATTGATTTTCAGTGCCATCTTGTCGTCGAGGGCTGTACTCTCTTGCTCTCCCTCATCCTCCTGCCCTCGGTCCCACGTTCACTTACTCTCACTAGCTCACTCTCTATCTCTCTCTCTCTCCTCTCTCTCTCCTCTCTCTCCTCTCTCTCCACTCTCTTCTCTCTCTCTCTCTCTCTCTCTCTCTCTCTCTATCTCTATCTCTCTATCTCTCCTCTCTATTTCTCTCTACTTTTCTATAACCGTAACGCTTCGCTTGGTTGCTGCCTTCGTAGGCAGACAGAGGGAAGTCGAGACGATTTTATGTTGTACTTCCGTGCAAGTTTTTCCGTTTACTTTACCAAGCTTCGCTGTGGACGATTCAACATACAAACTACATTTTATTTTATTTCGACGCACAATTGATCTACATAATGTACGAAAAGCATTTTTCATGTTAATTTTTATTAATTACTTAATATAAAATTATATATATATATATATACGGGGACATTGTTTAATTAATCAGTAAATAAATGCATAACTCCTCGTTATTGTGTTTTTTAACTGATGTAGGTAAAATAATAATTGAAAGATATAATAAATATTAACTTAGTCCTGATACTTGAAAGCTTATAATTCCAAAACTTAAATCGTAATAAAATAACAAAATTTCTTCGTAAATTCACGACTGTTGAGAGTAATATGCAATTCACTTTTTTATCAGTGCTCTTATTGTTTATAACCAATGAAAGCCGATTCACAGTCTTTCAATATTTATTAAATTAACCTGCTATTTATTGTTTAATCGGATGGACATCATTGGGTTAATCGGGAAATAAACTTCATTGAAAATTATGTTTGTTTTAATATAAAACAATCTTTTTATCTTTTCAACAAGTGTTATGATAATTAAAAGACGTAAGAACCTTTTTAAAATTTATGTAATTCTTTATTTTTTAAGACATCGCAACAGACTAAAATTTCCACTGCAATGCAGCGATTCATACTTTTACATAATATCATAATTATCCTAAAATATTATTAAATATTATATTGAAATCAGCATTTATTTTCAAAAACAGTTGAAATAATATCAAAATATAAAGAAAAAATTAATTATAGGAATAATTAATAACGAAAATATAGAAAATATCTAGTAATAGTTACTGTGAAATTTCTAAATTAGGTAAACATTAAAAACTGTTTCGCAAATTAGTATTACTATAACTTAAGTTTATAATATTTTGGAATGTAGCAGACGAGCAGGTAAAATAAAACTTGTAATTAATGAATTGATTGAATGTTTTCTTAAAAGTTTTAAATCCTAAAATGAATAACATTCGGTCATAATATAACCGTGAAAAATATTAACTCACTCTAATATAAATATAATTAAAAATTTCACATACCCCTATTTCTTTTACGTAAACTCTATTAAAATACAAAATTTATAATTAACTATAGAAATGCGGTAAAAGTTTTATTTTAAAAAGTTTCTTCACTTTTTCATACTTGCTCAAAGATATGTTTAACAAAATCTTTCACGTCAATTTTAAATGTAGAATTTTTTATAAATTACAATGAGTTTGTATGGAACTGTTATGTAATATACAAAAGATATAACAGAGTACGTAATAAAGATTAATATTAATAAGAGCCTTTGTACTGTTAATTTTCACTAAATGTCACGTTTCCTTAACATCGTTCATAAGAGTTAATTTAATTTATCAATTGTTAAATTATAATTGTTTAAACAAAGAAAAAAAAACTGATATTAATTAAGTATAGCTTATAGAAGAAAACGAATATAAATATGAACGAATAGTAATAAAAATAATAGAGATAAAGTAGATGAGTAAAACTATAATAGAAGAGGCAGTTCACCATCCCACTGACCAATACGAACGTTCAAGTACTTTTTTATACATAAGGTTTAAGTAGTTTAACAAACACCTTCAATGTTATTTTTCATCTGGCCTTCCTTTATTCTCTTTCCTCCGAACGAATTCAATGTCTTTGTTTGAATGTATACCGTAAATCTTTTACAGTAAAAGACTTCTCTAATAATAAGATCTTTGTTAAATATAATTGTTTCGTGGTTAAAAGAAATTTTTAATTATTTATTAATTTTAAATTATGATTTTTTAACTTCTTTTAGTAAGTTAAATTATTATGAATAAACATACAACATAGAGGTAACGTATGCCAATAATACAAACAGTCCTTACATTTTAGGCAGTGTCGATTCTAAAAAATTTGTAAAAACAAAATTATTTTTTAATAGAATTCGATTTTCAGAATAACTTTTACTAAACTCTCTAACAATGGATATTTTACTTAATACAATTTATTTATTGAGTTATTATTATGCTTTGCAGTAGTAAAAATCAATTTTTATCAGACTTCAGCATGAAATCTCTGTTTTTGAAGTAAAAAAAAAAAGATAAATAAATAAAATAAAAGGCAAATTTTTAAATAATTTGCAATAAAAATTTTACATATTAATTTAAACAAACATCAAATCTACTATTTAAAAATATTTTTTAATATTTAATAATAACATTATTACAAAAATTTTGACCATTGACACATTAAACTGTTAATACTTATAAACTGAAATAAATAATAGTTTTGCTTACACATAATTATTACACTTATCAAATAATAATTATATTTCAAATTGATATATATTTATTAAAGTAATGTAAAGTTAAATAACTAATTGAAAATTTTCAGCGTACGATGAAAATAGTGTAAAATGTAGTGTAAAATAGTGTAATAAATTATATAATTATTTCATCGTCCCATATAAATGCATACATGATTATACTTAAGCATCAATAACATTTTTATTACTAGAAGTAAATGTATTATTTAGCTTTAATGATAACTCGAAATAATATCTTGAAATTAATGATTTATGCATATAATATCATTTATAATATACTTTCGTCAATAATAACAATGAGACTAGCGATGAGCTCTTCGGAAATTTTATATTCTTAGTTTATCCGCCCGTTATTTACAATATCCGTATTGGGTAAAAAATTAGAAATTATAAGAATATATAAAATATATAATTAATAATAATGATAATAATAATCATAAAATGAAATAAAAATAAGATGTTATCATTTATAAGCATTTATGACATAAATTTCTAAATTTTATGATATTAAATTATATATATAAGAAAATAAAAGACAATACTATACAAGTCTTAATATATTTATATAAAAAAGCGATAAGACGATTTTTATATGTAAATAAATTATTCGTAGTATGGTTTAACTAGAAAATTAATGTATACAAAGACGAAATAATTATTCTTGTCAAATAATCACAATTCTAAATTCTCTCTAAGATATTATATTTATCTAGAATGCATAAATATCGATTATTTTTATTTATAAAATTTATTATTATTATTGATATAATACTTAAGTAAGCCCTCTTAGCTCTTAAAAACAATTAAGTTATACGTATTAGAAAAAATAAAATGAAATGAATTATATACATGTCTTTCACTTTAAAAATATCTATTAACCAATATAATCATTTATATATTATCTGATAAAGATTAAATAAACATTTTTTTTTTTATTTTAATGACGTTATCAATTAAAGCAAATTGACATTTAAAAAATTACTTTATGATGAGTAAATTTGGTCGATTAGTCGATTTGCGAAACAAGCATTAATCCTGAATATTTTAAAATATAAATCAACTGATTTAATTTAATTGTCTTGTACGTTAAAATAATAACAATAGGCGTACAGTATGTCTACTGTACAAACGATTTGAGTTATAAAAATTATTAAATAGATTATTAAAGACATTTATACAATAAATCGTCTCGCATTTAAATAATGTTATCCAAATTGAAAATAAATACATTATCGATTTGTAAAAAATATTAAGCATATTTTAACGTTCAAAGTGTCCTAAGAATAATAATTTTCGCACTTACTACTGTCTCCGTAAAATCATTATACGCATAAAGCATGAAATAGCATTAGAGTTTGTATTCGTTTTGCCAATATTGCCCATTTTCGAATATTAATTGCAAACATTAATAGGGATCATGGGTAGTTCATCAAGTTAGATCATGTAGATCAGTAGTACAATCACGATATCACCATCACTGATTAATCATCTCGACTTTTCTTTTTTTTTTTTATGAGGTTATAATAACAAACCACATGGGCAACATATAGAATAGTTTTAAGTAGGTAATAATAAGCTTAAGCAGGTAAGACAATGTAACTTCTAGGTGGGTCAATCGATGAAGTTCGGCAGCTTTAGGAATGCAATAGAGGATTAACCACCGCAACTGTGTATCCCCTATCCCATCCCTATCGATCGCCATTATCAATCGATCCATCGATCAAAGCGAGTAGCACATACCGATACCAGCTCCACGTCGATCCTTCCTCCCTCAAACCTCATCTCCCTCTCACTCCCTCTCCCACTCCCAGCGCCCCGTAACACACGAACAAAAAACAACCACACACGTTCGATTCTATGCACAAAATAAGTCCGTACGATTAGATGTTAAAGTGGTCGACTTACCCTGCAGATTGATGGCCGAGGGGAAGATGGAGGCTGCGTGCCGATGCACGACGTCCTGACTCCTCGCGGCCATGACTGAGCAGGCACCCGCGTGTCCAGCGTGGTGCGCGTGTGCGTGAGGATGGGCCGCGTGGTGAGCGCCAAGTCCCTGACCTCCGGCCCCGCCCCCGCCACCGGTCCCGGCATTACCCGGATATCCGGCGGCAGCCCGCGCGGCCGTGTACCGGTAAGCTGCCTGGCTCATCTGAGAGCAGGAGCCGAGATCCCCGTAACCGGCGCACTGCATCTCGCTTGCGGCCAAGGCGCAGCTCGAGGCTTCGAAACCCGCAGCCGCGGCTGCTGCCGCCTGGTTCAAGTACGAGTAGTCCATGGTTCTCGATCTCGTCAATGGCTGCGGCAGTGAGGGTGGATTACGCGTTGACGACCATACCTAAATAAACATATTTTGCCACTTGTTTTTTTTTTCTTTCTTTTTTTCCTGATAGACTCACGCCTGCTGCCCGTCGCACCGGCTTTCGGCCATGTGTAATTGCCAATCCGAAAACTTACAATCGGCAGTGGGTGGAGTGTAATTGTTACGCCGGCTCGCATGGTAGTGGCCTAATATATGGAATTTATCAAATTACAATAGGGCCTTTGAGTCGCTACGTACCTTCTCGTCTCACCCATAGTCTCTTCCAATAGCAAAAGACATGTACGGTTTTTTCTGCAAAGGACCAACATTTTTATAGATATACGCGGCTGGCTTTTGTTTTCGTATTTACTCGATTTTTCAAATAAAAAAGCCTAATGACATAGGTGAGGACCGGCAACGATCTTTTATGTCAAATGGTACTGCTCCATATTCCTTTCATACTCTTTAAGAATTTAATATAACTAGCCATGACAATGATAACTATGGTAATAATAACAATGATAACAATGATAATAATAATGATTACGATAAAAATTATGACGATAACAACAATAATAATAATAATAATAATAATAATAATAATAATAATAATAATAATATTAATATCAACGATAATAACAATGAATATGACGATAGAAACGGTAATGACAATGAAAATCATATTAACAATGACGATGATCAAAACAGAGATGATTATGGTGATAATTGTCATGATAATTATAAATAATAATTATAAATTCTAATGATTTGTCAGCCACAATAATTTAGAACATTGTTCCTTAATATTAATCAACGCTGATGTAATCATTAATATCATGAATTCTTTTTAGAAAACATTGAATATGACACTTCCATTTTACGATTACAAATACCCAATATAAAACAACGTATCAGAAAAACAGTACTGATTACTATTGAAAATCCGTAAATAATTACACTAAAAGTGCATTTAAATTACTTTAACTTTAACTAAACGTAACTTAAGATTATGCATATTGGCATAGATTAATATTAACTTAACTGTGTTTCATTTATGTAATTTTATTCATTATTTTGTTATTCTATCTCTTGCAGGGAAAAAATTATATAATTATTACAAAGTTTTTATGCCTCCATTCGGATTGTTCACGATACCTCGATATATATATATATATATATATATATATATATATATGTATATATATATATATATACAAAGAAGTATTTGGAGAGTACAGTTTGCTATATTTATACAACTTTGGAACTTTAATTTTATTATAAAAGAAGTTAGCTATTTAAAATATGTAAATTACAAGCACTACATTTTCTTTAGTAATCTGTCTTTAATATATCACATTGGTTTTAATCAGGCAATATTTACAATAAATTCTACGATACATTCTAATTACATAAATATGAATATTATAGCGATATATACATATAAATACTTTTAATAATATTTACATTATCATTATATAAAATTTTATTCTAAAACTTTGCTATAAAATTTACATATTTATCTACAATAAGTTAAATTCATTTTATATTATTAATTTGTAATATATAATTTAATATATTATATTTAATATATTATATTTAATATATATATATATATATATATATATATATATATATACATTCTAATGTTAAAGAATTATAACACATTCATTAAAAACTACATGACAGTTATGTTTTGAATTGAAAAAATACTAAAAATACTTTAAAACAACCTGAATTAATCATTTGATCGTTTTACAAACTATAACAATGATCATTATATGTAAATTGAAATTTTTTGTTCCAAGCAATATATCTATAATATTTTTTAAATAGAATTAAAAATGAAAGTATGGTAACATTGACGTAGTATATGAAAAATGAGTTTTCTTACAAGAAATGTTCGAATTGTAATAGTTCATAACTCATCATTAACATATACAAATATTCCAATAATTATTATTTGTATCTATGCAAAATTAACGTATTTAAAAAACAAAATAAAACATACACATCAAATTGACTGGAATTAATTTAAAAAACGAATAGTTTTTTTGCTAATTTTTTAAATAGATATAAGCTAGTCATCCGTTGTAAATAAATTTGATAAATTTTTTTACATTATTTTTTTTTTTATCATTTATTGTTTTTAATGAAAATCGATATTTCTATAATATTGTATATAATACTTATAATATTGTAGAAAATTTTAATAATGTGTTTTATGAATAATCTAATAATCTAGATCCGTGACATTCAAATATATTAAAATTATATGTAAATTTACTAAGGTACTTAGAGATTTCCTATCTTATATATAATATTTAAGCACAATCATAAAAGTCTCAATATCTAACATAGAGGGAAGTCCATGGATTATTAGATGAAGTGAGAAAAAAATTACTCAATGCTTAAAGATAAAAATAATATATGACTGTACAATACAGAATTACTATAAGGTATCAAGCTTATATTAATAAAAATAAATAATAAAAAATAAATTAAAAAATTAAAAATAAAAAAATACCACAGACGGCGAATAATTTTATTTCTTATTCATTATTAATAAGAATTTTAACGAGAGAACGCATTTGTTAAGTGATTTGATAAATACAATATTAATAAATTTAACAGTCGATCAAATAGATCGATATTTGTATGACAGACTTTGTGAATTTGAATTTAATGTGCAATGATTTCTAATAAACTTTCAATATGCGAATATTTTCAAGTTAACAATGAACGTGGAAGTCGCATTTCTTATACCATCATCCAATAACCTTATTTACTATTTGTTATTTTTATTTTTTTTTATTTTTTTTTTTTTTTTTTTTTATAAACAAGACATAAATCTGAAACTGCATGAGCGATGAATGTCCTTGAAGTACCAAATTGGGCAGAGACGCTGCCGGTACTCAAGTAACTCGAACAAGCTCTCGAAGCCGCTCGATAATCTAAGCAAATGTGATCCTTACCAAAATTCTCGGCAGATGAGCCCCGCTCTCAACCGGTTATCATTTCGACCAGTCTGCTAAGACAATGTCCTCCCCGTGTCCACCTTATCACAGTCCTCTCCTCCGCAACAACGTCTCCCCCGTTCACCAAAACAACGAGCTCCTCCGCAGTCGGTGCTCGCCCTCGTCCATCGAACCCACGAAAAACAAAAAAAAGAGGGTCCTCGCCACGTGCTCCCGTGGCGACTATCTCGAGGAGTCGCGCGCGCAATCCTCCTCGACGGCGGCGGCGCCCCGCGAGGATCCTCGCCGACGGCGGCCGCACGCGCCCGCTTCAGCTCCCACTCGTCCTCTGCCTCAGCGTCCGCGCGGGCAAAGCGCCTCAGAGCGAGGCCAAGCGCCTAATAATCAGATCAGCTTCGATATCGAATTATTGCGATTATGTACGCGGCGGCGGCGGCGGCGGCGGCGGCGGTGGCGGCGGTGGCGGCGGTGGTCGCGGCGGTGGTGGCGGCGGTGGTGGCGGCGGCGGCAAGGCCGTTTAAGAGCGTCCGGTGCGACCGGCTGGTGGTGCTCCTCAAAATCAAATGATAAGCCTAATTCAATAACCGCCCGGCTCTACGGCCCTCGCTACCACCAACCCCACGGCGATCGTCGGGTGGGAGTCGCGTGCGCGCAGCCTTTTTCCGGGGGGGGTGTGGCCGAGGCGGCTAGGGGCTGCTGCGGGCGTCCATTGGCCCCGATGAGCGCCCCGATAACGTGAGGGAGCGAGAGAGGGAGAGAGAGCGAGGGAGCACGCGCGCGAGACCGGAACGAAGCTCCGAATGCACCATCTAGAAAGACTCCACCCTCTTTCGACGGGGCTCGTCGCGACTACGGGCGCTCCAACCTCCCCTCTCACGCTCCTACTGGCAGCCGCCACCCCACGCGGGCTTTACCCACTATCTCTTCCTACTCCTTTGGCCCGCTCTCTCGCTCTCTCCCTCTCTCCCCCTAGGTGGGTAGGCATGTCCCACGCTTATGCCCGCGCTCTTCTTTCTTTTCCTCTCTTCCACTCTTTGTCTCTCACCCACCCACCCGCACACTCCCACCGCCCATACCCGCCAACGCGCTTGCTTCCTCTATCAAGCCCCAACCGCCACTCCCTCGCCCCTCGCAATCTTTTTCCTCGCGCACACGCGCACGGCCAAGCACGCACGCACAAAATTGCCGATGTACGCTCGGGCGTCGGATTATCCGTCTCCGTCTCTCGCAACCTTCTGTCAATTCGGCGCTTTCTCCCAAATACGCCTTGCCTCGGCATAGCTCTTCCAGCGCTTTTCCCCTTTACGATTGCTATCCTACCTAGCCTCCTCGCGCGATCGCTTTCCGTGCTTTTTGTACAACATGCAGAGAGAGAGAGAGAGAGAGAGAGAGAGAGAGAGAGCTTGCGCCACTTTCACCGTACTTTCATCGTGCTACGCTCGACCACGAGCATAGGCAAACGGTAACGTATATGTTTTTCTCCGCCTACTTAGCGTCCCGGCTAAGCCAAGTACTGACTGAATTTGCAATTGGATAAAGGAAGACGAGCGTTCCGCTAAAACGAATATTCTTTCCACCACCTGCGCGATAACGCTAATGCAATAAAAGCTAAAAACAGGAGGAAAGAGAAAGAGTGACAATTTTATGTTTGGTTCTAGCGTGGTTGGCTATATGCGCCCTTTGCGACGTGCCTGACGGGCTATTTTACTCGATAATTGCATCAGCCGTGATTGGAATAAGTCGTTGGTTGTAAAAACCTTCGAGCAAGGTGAGACAAGGGATTGGGAAAAGGTTGGGAAGGAGTTACGATGGGAGAAAAAATTCAAGCTTATGATATATATTATCCGATGTTCGTGGTCCATTACCGATTGATAAACTTTTACTTCTAAATATCCAAACGATAAGATTAAACGGTTAATCAAAGGGTAAATTTTATAAATTGACGTTAATTTTAAGCTATTTAAAATTCACGGAATTTTAGATTAAATATTTGCAATTATTCAAATGAT